AATGAACCTTCAGATGAGAAGTAGGCTTTTCCCTTTCCCACTCTGTTATTTTGCATTACTGTTTCTGTCATCATCCTAGAATCATTTAATGGCCATATAAAATATGATCAATTTGCAGGTCTGATGTTTATAGCTTTGGAGTTATCTTATGGGAGCTCTCTACATTGCAACAACCCTGGGGAGGAATGAATCCAATGCAAGTTGTTGGTGCAGTAGGATTTCAGCACCGTCGTCTTGACATTCCAGATGACATGGATCCTGCCATTGCAGAAATTATTAGAGGGTGTTGGCAGACGTGAGTATATTTTTGATCATTGCCTTTATTTTTTGGTCTTGGATTAAATATTGTGATTTAATAGAGCCGAATCCCAATAAGCTCATGCGCACGCAGTTGCACTATATCGATTGAGTTATCTTGAACTAGATTTGGCATACTACTTATGTAGCCATAATAGCTATACTTCTAATTCTTAATCTGTGGCTTAAAAGGAGACTGCTGCAGATGCTCATGTTTTGATTCATGATGTATATTTTTAATCATTGTTGCTTTAAACTATTTTCTGTTGCTTTTTTGCTCAACCTTTTCTTTGGGCTGACTAATGCTTTATTTGAAACACTTTCAATAATCTAATTAACCTTTCTCTGATTTTAGCTTCATAGTTATTTTCAGTCTCGTGGACCTTGGTTTTACTTTTTAAATCTTGAAAGGCTGTTTAAGACCTTTGTCACATATGCCTGTGTATGTACCATGTATGTGTTTAAACCATTCATGACACCTTAATTGCAAGCTATGCTACAACTAGAAGAGTGTATGCATGTATGTATGTGCCATGTATGTATTAACTTGAAATTCAGAGAATGTTTTTCGTTCAAGTGAAGTGCAAATTAATAATCTAACTACCCTTTTTATTGTAAGAAGTTTGAAAAAGTTAAAGAGTCATTCTTACCTTCTATGAAGAATACTTGAGGGACTGAATTTTCAGAGGCATTTTTAAAGAAAGTATCTCACGCTGTTTCGTAGTTAATTAGCTGTATTGGTGAAGGGAGTCTGGAGAATATCCTGACCATGAAATAGGTTGGGCTCAGTGACAACTGATTTGAAGAAGCATTATGTTCTCTGCTGTTTTGCATACACATTTTCGTGAGTGTATGGGAATATATAGTTAAATAGGAGTAAAAGAGAGAAAAGAGAGAGAAAATTAAAGGTTATTCGGAACTGCACAATTTAATTTTTTTTCTAAGTATGAGAAATGAGAGTTGAGGATACAAATATAATTCAAATATGAAATGACTAATATGTCCAAACAGATATAACCTCTTATTGTCTTGTTTGACTAATTCCAAAATTTAGTTTGTTGCTACATACTTAGTCGAGACCAAATTAGACTCTCCTTTTATATTAGTTTAGATTCACAAAAGTGTCAGAGTAAACTTTGGATGGACTCAATGCTTCTGTCCACTGAACCTTACCGCAACGGAATCAAGATTTCTTACTTCAGACCCATTTTTATGTCTACTGTCAGAGATTGTCTTAACTGCTTTTGCATTGATTTTTATCATGTTCTTAAAAAAAAAAAAAAAAAATCTGTGACCTAGTATATATTTTACCAAAGATTTACGTAAATATTTTATTGAAGCTATTTATGCAACTTGAATTGGATTCTTTCTAAACAAGCTTTATTGCGGACTTGCCTACATATGCAGTTCCCTGAAGACCTGACCTAAATTTGAACCTTTAATGTACATGGTTAATTCGAATTTGTTCTGCTGTCTATTCAAGCCTTTTCATGTTGTGACTTCAGATGATTACATCTAATCCTCTATGTATCTGAAAGAATCCTAAACTATTAAAATGACACTATAAAAAATCAAGTCAATTTGACTATGAATTTGTATGCTTTTGCTAATCTTTTTGTTTGAAAATGAACTTACTTTAGAAGTTGATTAATTGATTGTCTTGGTGCATGTGCAGTTGACGATCTGGCTGGTATAACAGGCCAATCTTTTAAAAGCTCATGAGTTGAGCTAATTCTAAAACATCCCCACAAAATGGGGGACTAATGGGCTTAGGTCATGTTTGGTGCATAGGATGATGGATATGATAGGTTTGGATAGGATGATAATCATACTCTATCATGTTTGGTTTGTATCTAAAGAAAGGGATAGGATTGTAAAGAGGATTAATCATCCTCTTAGCATAGGATAATTCAATCTTCCCAAAGTGGAAAGGATTATTTTGTAACTTTTGGGATTGAACTTACATATTTTATTATACCATTAAAAATTACATTAATAATTTAAATTGTATAAACTTTGAGAAAGAATAATTTTGACAAATAAATTATCTTATCATAATCTTTGCATACATCAAACACAAGATAGGATGATATTTTTTAATATAATCTTATTCATAATGTCATCTTAGCATATCTTATCATAATGTTGTGCACCAAACACACCCTTAATCTATTATATGTTCCATTTGTTCTCCGCACAAATCTTGGCACCTTAGTTCTCTTAACCTGACCTTTTTACTTGTTAGTTTGAATTTTCTTTCCCTCATTTTATTGTTAGTATACTTAAACTTTTGATTTTGCATTACACGGACAATTATGCTTTTTAACTATGTAGAAGTTATGTGGAAGATTCTATTCCCTTGCAGCCACATTCTTCATTCCATGGGTAGCATAATTTAGTTTACCATACATTGATGGTCCTGGTTTCCTGTTATTTTAAATATTGAACTTTGATAAATGGTGGAGCTTGGAGATGAACTCTATAGTATCATGGTCATTGCAATCTATAGGATGTAGTTGTAGATGCATCTGAATGTGTGTTAAGGCTGACGTAGAATAACTGACCATTGTTTTTTAAAATTGTAGAGATCCAAAACTGAGGCCGACATTTGCAGAAATTATGGCTGCTTTGAAGCCACTGCAAAAGCCTGTAACAAGTGCACAGGTACCTAGATCAACTGCATCTTTAAGTAGTGCCCGTGAGAAGGGTCAGCCATGAAGTTTTGCAGAAGGCCTAGCATGTAAAGAGAGAAAGCTCAAGACAGAAGTGACTCCTGGCTTTATTGAATTGCCAGCAGTTGGCAGGGCAGGTCCTCAACTGTTTGGGACAAAGTATAAGTATACATGATTGAAGATTACACAACGTATACTCCAATTTGGGATGATCTGATTCTTTTTGCACATTTTCCTTTCTGTTTTTTTTTTTTTTACCCTTTTCGAGCATCAGCCATGCAGCCATTTTTTATGTTGTGCATTTGTTTGTAAAAAGAAAAAAAAACGGAAGATGTAACAAATGTTTTGCCTCATTTTGTGTTGAGAGGGGGGGGGGGGGGTTTCCAGGTGATAATGTGAACTGAAGAAAGATACGATAACTGAAAATTTCAATCTGTGTACAGTGATGGTAGGCAAGGGAGTAATAACTGTAGATATCAATCTGTTGTGGGAATCTGATGGTTGGGGTGGGATAACCTGAGTCATAGTAAACATTATTTTAAGGCGAAGATCTTGCGGGAAATTGTTCGAGGAAGAATATCGTGCCTTTCTTGCAAATAGTTCACGAAGGACTCTCCAGCAGCAAAATTTTGAAGGATGGTGCAACCCAAAACTTGCAGCTTCCACGATTTGCCATTTTCGCTAGATGGTTGTTTAAAAATTCAAACTTTTTTCTAGTGTTTGCCAGTCATACTTGGTCGAAAAACAAACTTTAAATCCCCTTTCATTAAGAAATCGCTCTTTTTTTCTTGTCCATCCCTTTCATGAATAAGTTCTCAATGACTCTGGACAAAAAAAAAAGCACATTAGGAAGGATAAGGTAGGACCAGCCACTCCTCGGAAAAGTGGAGGGGATATTTTTCTCTTCCTACTGCCTGGTGGCTTTGTCTCTCAACCAAGATTTTGTCAACCCCTCTAAATGGCGACCTTTTTTTAACCTCTCAACCATTTCTGTCTCACCCATTAACAATAACTCCTCTCTTCTCTTCATCATCAAAAACACCTCCTATTCTTCCTCCATCACCACCAAATCTACCTTCACAGCCACCACTTCCTACTCCGTCTCCACAACTAAGCACAACTTCATCCGAGCAGCAACCACCAGCCTTAGTAAAAGTGCAACAACAAAAGACCTTAAAACCTTCCACCACTATTGAAACCAGTGACTGGATAGTTTCCTCCATGACCTGGCGGTTTGGGCTCGGTGCAGGTCGTGTGTCACGAACTAAGCTTTCTCTCAACAAGCAATAGACTGTGCGGCACTTGAATGAGCGTTTTCAATCAAGTCAGCCTTCAATAGATCGATATCTGAACAAATAACCATAAGCCATGGTTAGTCCCAAGCATTCACAATAAGACACAATATATCGAGATCAATCTTAAGCACACACACAAGAAGGCATATTTGCATCGAGAAAAAGAAAAATACATCGAGGCAACAATCGGGACATTCAATCGGGGTGAATCTTATTATAATCGAGAATCATACATCGGGATCTTTCACCATCACCAAGGTCAGGGGGCAGCCCTTGTTGGGTGGCCTAGGCTCGCATAGCAATCGGTGAGACAGCCCAATACTACGTTGCCGGCCCACCCCCCCTAAAGAGCCTTAGAGATTTTAGAGCTATGCTATCAGTAACCATTACAATATTTGAAATGGGGATACTTTTTCTAGCACAAGGGATCTACCCGACCATGGCCCTATACATGGGTGGCTCATGGCAACCTAAGTCCCGGTCATGGCCCTACACAAGGTTGGCTCATGACATCCTCCCCCACCTATTCTATCGACGTCCTCGTCGACTTACTGGCTTGAAATTCTTCAATCTTCCTTTGAAATCTCAGAGGTCGTGTTCTCTTTCCCAGCTGGTTTCTTCTAGTCCTAATCCCTTCCACTTCACTAAGTACTCCCGAACTAGTTTTCGAGATATCTTGGTTTCCCTGTTAGCTAAGATCTCTTCGACTCGATGCTCTGAGGGTGGCTTCATGGTGATGACGGCTCTGGTTGGCTCCCTTCGACTAGTATTTGTAGGATCTGCATGGAAAGGTTTCAGGTTACTCAGATGAAATATTGGGTGTACCTTCATCCACTTTAGTGGGTCGATTTTGTAAGAAGCATTTCCTACCTTGGAAAGGACCTTTACTGAACCTTCATATTTACATACCAGTCTACGATCTCTCTTTCTCAAGAACCTGGTTTATTCAGGAACTAGTCGGACAAAAACCAAATCACCAACTTGAAATTGTTGAGCCCTACGACCCTTATCTGCCCATTTCTTCATCCGCTTTGATGCTTTCTCCAGGTAAGCTTGTGCAATCTCTGTGTTTTGTTTCCACTCCTTGCTGAGATTGAAGGCTCTCAGATTCTTTCCTCCATATTGTTCCAAAAATGTGTGGGGTAGCCTTGGTAATTGTCCGGTGACCACCTCAAATGGGCTCTTATTAGTGGAAGAGCTTTTGTTGAAATTAAAACAGAGTTGAACCACGTCCAATAATGAAGGCTAGTCTTTCTGATTGGCTTGAACAAAGTACCTCAAGTATTCCTCTAATAATCCGTTGAACTATTTCGTTTGACCATCGATTTGAGGGTGATAGCTTGAGGAAATGTTGAGTTGGGACCCCAATATTTGAAAAGTTCTCTCCAGAAGGATCTCGTGAATCTCGGATCTCTATCGCTGATAATGTTTTGAGGGAGGCCCCAGTATTTGACCACATGTTTGAACAATAGTTGAGCTGTGTCTTCCTTTGTGCAATACTTGTGAGCGAGAATGAATGTGGTGTACTTAGAGAACCGGTCAATCACCACCAAAATAGTTTCAAGGTCACCAACCTTGGATAGGCTCGAAATGAAATCGAGGGAGATGCTTTCCCACGATCTGGCGGGTACTGGTAGGGGTTCAAGCATGCCTGCAGGTTTCCTCTTTTCAACCTTATCTTGTTGGCAAATGAGGCAGTCCATCACATCTTGTCGCATATGAGGCCAATAGTATCTCTATTTCAATAACGTCAAAGTGCATTGCCAGCCCAGGTGTCTCGCCCATGGTGTGTCATGACATTCCCTCATCAGCATCTGTTTCAGACCTTCTGCTCTTGGCACAAACATTTGAGGCCCCTTGGTCCATAAAACCCCATTTTCTTGTCAGAAGTACTTGGACTTCCCTTCTTCCACTAGTTTCAAGATGGCACAAGCTTGCAGGTCTTTCCTTAAGTGATCTCCAATCAACTTGTGAATATCTATAATGGCTCTGTTAGCCATCATTGGGGCAATTCTTCTAAGGGCCACTAAATCTGCTCGCCTGCTCAATGCATCGGTCACTTGATTGGTCTTTCCAGCGGTGTGCTCAAAACAAAAGTCGAATTCCACTAAAAATTCCTGCCACCTAGCTTGTTTTGCCGTAAGCTTTGGTTGGGTGAGAAAATGGTTAATAGCCGCATTGTCTGTCTTCACGACAAAGTGTGAACCCAACAAGTAATGTCGCCAAGCCCTCAAGCTGTGAACCACCGCCAGGAGTTCTTTTTCCTAGGCCATGTATTTCCTTTCAGCTTCACTTAGCTTCATATTTTCAAATGCTACCGGGTGATGTTGTTGCAAAAGCACTCCTCCAATAGCAAAATCAGATGGATCCGTCTAAACTTCGAAAAGCTTTTCAATATCAGGGAGAGCTAAGATGGGATCCTTCATAATAGCATCTTTCAATCCCTCGAAGGCCTCTTGGCACTCACTCGTCCAACACCATTTATGCTCCTTCTTCAATAGCTCCGTGAGGGCCGTGGTCTTGCGAGAGTACCCTTCCACAAACCTTCTATAATAGTTGGCTAGTCCCAAAAATGAACAGAGCTCACTAACATTCTTCGGTGTTGTCCACTCCTTGATGGCCCTAACCTTTTCCATGTCCATTCGAATGTGGCCACGTTCGACAATTTGATCGAAAAAATAGATTTGGGTCTGAGCAAATGCACACTTCTCTCTTTTTAAGTATAACTGGTGGTCCTGTAATCTTTGAAGTACCTGGCATAGGTGTTTTTGATGTTCTTCCAAGGTGGAGCTATATACCACTATATCGTCTAAATAGATTACTACAAATTTGTCTAGGTAGTCATGGAACACCTGATTCATCAATGTACAAAATGTGACAGGAGCATTGGTCAGTCCAAAGGGCATAACAAGAAATTTAAATGCACCATACCGTGTCATACAAGTGGTCTTTGGCTCATCTCCCTCAACGATTTTGACCTGATGGTAGCCAGATCTCAGGTCTAATTTGGAGAAGTACTTAGTCCGACTCAATTGATCAAACAAGTCTGCTATAAGGGGGATGGGATATTTGTTTCTTACGGTGACTTTGTTCAGGGCCCTGTAGTCAACACATAATCGAAAACTTCCATCATGCTTCTTCTGAAATAGCACTAACGTTTCGAAAAGAGCCTTTGATGGTCTGATGAACCCGATTTGTAGCAGCTCATCTAACTATTTTCTTAGTTCGACCAACTCTGGCAGGGCCATGCGGTAAGGAGCTCTAACAAGGGGTTTCGCTCCTGAGAAGAGCTCAATTTCATGGTCCACTGCTCGTCGAGAGGGTAGAACCTTAGGCAACATCTCTGGCATCACCTCTTCAAATTCTTCCAACACTTTTTCTACACCATCAAGTATTGGTTCTACTTCCGACCCTTCTTTGTAGATCTGCACAGCCACAAAGGAGGGTTCCCCTCTCTTTACCCCTTTCTTGAACTGTAAAGCTGAAATCATTTTCTTCCCACTCTTTGGTAAGATATTGGCTAGCACCACACATGGGTGTTCCCCTAAGAACAACAAGCAGTTAGCGACGGGGATAGGGATGACTTGAGCCAACATCATGAAGTCCAATCCAAGAACCACATCAAAGTCATCCATGAGGGAAACTATAAAGTCTACCTTCCCTTTCCATGGCCCCAATAGGGTTGTCACACTCTTAGAGCTTCCACTGATCGTAAAGGCTGGTGAATTGATCGCCTTCATTTGTCCACAGTCTTTACTAATCTGAAGACCACACTTTTTTGTTTCTTCTGGTGTGATGAAAGTGTCGGTTGCACCCGTATCCATCATGACCTTAGTGGCCTTCTCATTGATCATCAAGTTCACATACATCAAGCCTCTACTCTGCTCCTTCTTTATAGTGTTCAATTGGGTGCGGAGGGCATTGAAGAACTTTATTGAACCCATCCTAGCTGGCTCCTCTTCAGCTTCTTCAACGTTCTTTTTGTAGACTCTTGAGATGAGGTTCTTAAGGCATTAAGGGCTCCCCTGTGCGGGTATTCAGCCACCCGATGCGGCCCCTTACAAAAAAAATAAGCTAGCGATTGCCTAGGCTTAAAAATCCCTGCGTTGCTTGTCTTGGGTTGGGTGCTATCTCGACCAAAGGACCTCCTGTCTGATCCTCCACTGAAGGGGCCGATCTAACCTGGTCATCTTTTCCTCACTCCTAAAGTTGAAGCTACTGCCAACTGATGGAGGATTTTTTCGTTTTGAGGAGCCATCATTATAATCATGGAGATGTTCAGCTGCAGCCATGGCCGTGGCCACGTCTTGCACTTTCTGTCTTTGTAGTTCTGTCCTAGCCCAAGGCTTGAGGCCTTCAAGAAAATAGAACATCTTGTCTTTTTCGGACATGTCCCGAATATCCAACATCAGGGTAGAAAAGCTCCTTACAAACTCTCGCACCGTTCCTATTTGCACCAATTCTCGAAGTCTCTTTCGAGCCATATACTCCACATTCTCAGGAAAAAATTGGTTTTTCAATTCTCGTTTCAGGTCCATTTAAGTCTTAATCGGGCACTCGTCATTGACAAACTTGGAGCGCCACCATAGCTTGGCATCTCCTGCGAGGTACATCGACGCCATTGCTACCTTGTCTTCCTCTGAATCCGTGTGTACAGTTCGAAAGTACTGTTCCATGTCAAACAAGAAATTTTCAAGTTCTTTAACATCCCTTGCCCTCTCATAGCATCGAGGCTCCGGCACCTTAGGCCTTTTTCCCCTTTCCATCGAGCTCGAACCTGATCTGGCCACAGCCATTTATAGGATGCTCACCTGTGCTCTGAGCTCCTCAAACTCCTTTTGGAGAATGTTCAAGGCATCTCTAGCCTCCTCGTTCACATTGTGGAGAGTATCAGATAACTCCCGTTGGGTTGTCTCGATCTCCCTCACTCGATCTTTAGTCGTCATATAAGTTTTCATTACGACCACCGCGGCCTCAAGTTCCTCAATTCTCTGTTGATGATTGGGTCCACCACTCGTGGCCATCTCATCCATTTTTTAGCACTTCTCAATCGTGCTCTGATATCACGTGTCACGGACTAAGCTTTCTCTCAACAAGCAATAGACTGTGCGGCACTTGAATGGGCACTCCCAACCAAGTTAGCCTTCAATAGATCGATATCTGAACAAATAACCATAAGCCATGGTTAGTCTCAAGCATTCACAATAAGACACAATATATCGAGATCAATCTCAAGCACACAAACAAGAAGGCATATTCGCATCGAGAAAAAGAAAAACACATCGAGGCAACAATCGAGACATTCAATCGGGGTGAATCTTATTATAATCGAAAATCATACATCGGGACCTCCCTCCATCACCAGGGCCAGGGGGCAGCCCTTGGTGGGTAGCCTAGGCTCGCATAGCAACCGGTGAGACAGCCCAACACTACGCTGCCGGCTCACCCCCCTAAAGAGCCTTAGAGATTTTAGAGCTATGCTACCAGTAACCATTACAATATTTGAAATGGAGACACTTTTCCTAGCACAAGGGATCTACCCAGCCATGGCCCTATACATGGGTGGCTCATGGCAACCTAAGTCCAGTCATGGCCCTATACAAGGTTGGCTCATGACACCGTGCATTGGCTATCTTATTTGCTATTGGAGTGATTCTGAACAGATCTGAACAAAAAGCAAACACAAGGTATCTAACTCTAAGCTCTCTCTCTCTCTCCACATCCATACATTCAAAACCAAACTCCATGTTTACCAATTACTAGTTTTTCCCGTGATGCCACGTTTTCTACATTTGCCTGCTGACTAGGAAGCCCTGAACGCTTTAGATAAACTGTATTCATATAGAATTTTTTGGCTTTGTATTTCTAGCCTTTGAAATAACTCATAATCAAATAGCCACTAGACTGGATGAACCCTTGAATCTTCACATTGAGGTCAAATCTCAAATGTTTTAAACTTGTTAAACCTGTAAGGACATTTGATGATTTGTGAAATTCTCACCTTCCACCATAACTTCACAAAGTTTCAGACCACTCCTTGGTAATATTTTATGCATAATTCTGCATTTTTTTTACTTGGCCAGGAAATCAAATTAAAGAGTTTACTCAATTACCACTCAAATGAATCAGCGGTTGAAATTTATATAAACCTGCTAACTATGTCTGAGTCCTAAAACTAGTTCTTCACTGACCACACTCGTTGTTTTGGACAGAGATGTTGAGAAGCAAGAGGAGTTTGTGCTCCCTAATGGTATAAAGTATATTCTCTTCATTGTCTATCGGTGAATCCATGATTTCTCTCTCTTTGTGTCTCTCTCTCTATCTATATATATATATATATATAAATAAAGAAATTGCAAACAAAAATTTGAAATAATATATTACTAATTATAACCATTGTTTAGGACGAGTTCTATCTTGGAAAAAAAAATATAATTGCATTATTTCTAATGCTGTCAAATATATCCTTCTTAATATATGTAACTAAACAATCATTCAATCAAAAAGTGTTCGTGAATTCACCAATTTTGTTAACGAAAAAGGTATAAAAAATTTTTTCTTCAAATTTTCTTGTATTTCAATTTCTAAAAATGTCCATGGACATCATACCTTGAGACATGAATCCGCTTAAGTTGTTTATTATTCGATACAAAATTAACTTCCTGAAAGATGTATATAATGCCAGCATTTTCTTAGGCTAAAAATATGCAATTTAAAAATAGGTACTATGAGTTGAGAGTTGGTGGAGGGGCTTCTCCAAGGAGTGGAGACTTGGTGGTGATTGATCTCAAGGGAAAAATTGGAAGGCAGTGGAGAAGTACTTGTTGATACATTTGATGGAGGCAAGAAGCCACTTGCTCTAGTAAGGGGGTTAAGGCCCTACAGTAAGGGAATGTGTGAAGGGTTAGAATATGTATTGAGATCAATGCAAGCAGGAGGCAAAAGGAGAGTCATAATTCCTCCCAATTTAGGGTTTGGAGAGAATGGTGCAGATTTAGGTTCAGGTGTCCAGATTCTGCCGTCTGCGACTCTTGAGTACATTGTTGACGTTGATAAAGTCTCCATTGTACCTGAATGATTTTTTTTTTTTAGGTTTTGAAGTATTTGTTGATATAATACTAAATTGAATATGTACCTTTTGGCCAAAAAAAAATTACATATGTACTAACTGTACTTTTTTTTAACGGTACTGACTGCACTTTTATAGTTTTACAAGTTGCATTTTTTGTCTCCCCATCAGATCATGGGTGCATACAAAATAAAAGAAAGTTTATCAATTAATTCAACTTTTAATTAATATTCCAAATTGGTCCTTCACCTAAAAAGATGATGTCACAGTATAATTATCTCATGTATATTAAGTATTGAATTTTATTTGATTTTATATTTAAATTGGATCCTTTATATATTGTCAATTTATTTTAAATTTGATATTTATCTAATATCAAAACTTTCAAAACTTAGGATCTAGTTTTATTTGTTATTTTTATTTGTTGTTTCTTTTAAATTTGTTATGTGATAAATGTTTTTGTTTATACATACATAATTTTATTTATTATCAATTGATTTTAAGGTAAATATTTTAAGATTTGAACTTGTTCTTGTATAATTGGAGTTAGGAATAGTAGTTTCCTTTTAAGGCTAGAATATCAATAACAACTCCAACAAACTCTGGTTTCTTTAATTGTTCAATTTGCGGAGAGCTCTATTTGAATTAGCACTTATTGGTTACTTTGATTGAGAACAAGGACAACCATCAATGTAAGCATTGTGGAATACTAATCTAGGCTGTTCGGTGGTGGTTGATTTTTTTTTTTAATTTTTGCTTTAAAAAGTGAAATGGCAAAAAGCCCATTAGCACATAAGGGGGAAAAAACCCATATCAAAGGATTATTGTATACAAAATACGTAAATTCTTTATATAAATTATTAGATGCATTTTATGATTGAAAGGATATAATATTTTTTTTCAACAAGAAAGTGATTCATCATCAATTTAGCGTTATTTTGGTCATTAGGTCCAAACTGATGTGTCAGATCAATCTTACTTCTCGAAGTTCACATCAATTCGGCCAGACTTATATCTCATCTGACAATATGTAAATATACTAACTTGAGAATAAATATCCATTCTTATCCTAAGTATGGACTATCAACTTTCTATACTTTCTCTAGATTTCTCTTTTTCTCTTTCTTTTGAGCATTGACTTGAGTATTAGCTGAAGTTGTAAATGAACCAAACATAAAAGAATGAATATATATCCATGGTTTATCCATTTATTTTTAGGATTGTTTGGAATTGGTTTGTGTTCGGTAAGAAAAATGAAAAGTTCATTCGAGCTTGATTTGTTTAATTAATAGGATTTTGGATTCCTTAAAGCTCTTTTCCTAGCCTCATCTTGGGATGCCAACCTTTTTTAACCATCTGTTTTACAACCATTTTATTAGTTACTGACAAATGCGGTGAATATAATCTAGATCCTTCACCAACATAAGTGGCATTAACAAGTTCAAATGACTTGTAAGAACATTCTAAGGCCTTAGCTATGACTTCCATATATGAGGTATTTATTGGCTGAGTCACAAGCAGATCGTCCTCCCTTGATATACATATCAATTTTCCTTCAATAATGAATTTTATCTTTTGATGCAAAAAAAATAAGACAATGCTTGCTGTGTAGATCTAAGGCCTACCCAACAAGCAACTATATGATAGCGAGATATCCATCACTTGAATCTTCACATTAAATCATATGGTCCAATCTGTAATAATATATCAATATCACATATTATTTCTTGTTTGGCTCCATTGAAAGTTTGACAATCTTGTAGCTAGTTTTCATGTAGAACATGTCCACAGGTAACCTAGTTGGAGTGGACACATGCATAATATTAGTTGTAAAGCTATTATTAATGAAGATCTTAGCCATTGTATGACTCTTGCATTTGGCAGTAACATGAAGAGCCTTAATGCTTCCTATTTCTTTTGAGGGAATCTCATCATTAAATGTAATGTAATTTGCAACCATAAGATTTTCGCAAGATTGTTTAAATAATCCACGAATAAATTGTGAGATATGTATGCCTAATTTAATTCCATTAGTAAGGCATTGTGATGAGGCTCTAAATTGAATAACAGTGACAGAAGTGAGATCCTAGCTAACATTTTATTCAATTGTTCCATCACATTATACTCATTATGTTTAATTAACTTTAAAGACTCACAAGCTTCTTTTTTCAAGATCAATTTTTGGTATTCTTGGTCTAGAACCACTAAAGAATCCTTCTTGATTCCTTTTTCCTTTTCAACTTTTGTTTTTCCTTTATAGTTTTCTCTACTATCTCTGGAGAGTAACACATTCTACTTTAAGTCATGCTATTAACAGCAATTATGTTTGCAGCATTGAGATTGTTCAAAGTCTCATCACCTTTTAGTCATGGTGCTATGACATCACCTTTGTATTTTTATGGTTCCTTCCTTATTGTTTTAATACAAAAAAGGACTAAAAACCTTAAAAGTTATAACTGGCTTAGGAGTTCTCCACTAAAATTGTAAGAACAAATCTTGAAGTCATGTCTATTGTGAATACTTTGACATTCGTTTAATCTCTATCATCTTCATAGAATTCAATATGAAACGAATCCATTTTCTATAATGTTTGGCAAAACTGGTCACAAGTCTCAATTGAATGTCCTATAGCTCTTTTGTGATTCTTACACCTTTGAGTTGGATTATATTCCTTACAATTAGTTGATAACCTTATAGAAAATAGTTATTTAAACTTATTTTTAGTGCTTAAATGAGTTATTCTTTCTTTGTTCTTGGTTAAATAAGATTATTTTTACTCTTAATGTGATTAATTTGATGATGTGTAGGTAATTTTGAAGAAAAGAAGAAATCTTGCTAAATCTTAAAGAATTCTTAAAAAATTCTAACTTAACTTGGAAAAGATCAACACGCCATTAGTTTTCCTATTTGAAGAAGGTTTTTTCACTTTTACTTGGATTCCTAATTTTGCTAGGATATCTTACTTTAACTTGAAAATCTTCACTTTAACTTGAAATTCCTACTTTGACTAAGAAATCTACTTAGTGAAGCTAACTTTGGAAAAGTTTTCTAGGTTGACTAGAAAATCCTAGGTTAACTTGGTACTCTTACCTAGTATAGGATTGCATGAGGTAAAAGAGTATGGAGCCCAAGTCACATGATAAGCCCAAGATGGTGTCCAAGGCAAACCCAAACCAAGAGGTGGTTTAAATAAGAGCCCAAAGTACTACAAGGTTTAGGTTTGGTGGGTTGTTAAAAAAAAATGGGTGACCTAATTCTCTTTTATTCAAAAAGTCCTAATCTTAGTCCAAAAATTGCTTAAAAGATACAAGGCCAAATCTTAGTTGATGATTAAAGGCTGCCAAAGGTTTTAAAGTAATTGAAATTCATTTTTCTCTCTTAAAAAAGCCTTAACCATGCACCATTCTTCAATTTTAAGAGATTTAAAGTTTAAGAAAAGCTCAAGAAAAGTTAAGTAGCTAAAAATGTCAAGACTTTAAGCTGCTTAAAACTTAACCATACTAGAGTCCTTCCAAAATAAGGTTGCAGGTACCTCAAAGTTAGGACTTTAAGAGTTGCTTGAAAAAGTTTAAAAGAAAACAAACCTTTTCTTAATTCAAGAAGGCTACCACACCTTTCTAGGGTTCTTTGTATTTTTTTTTTTTTTATAAATAGCTAGCTTAGGCATTAGAGATGAGCATAGACTAAGGGTGACAGACCAATCCTTAGTCTTACGTTTTCTTTCATTGTTCTTTAAATTTTCTTTAATTGCTTTAAGTTTTCTTTAAATAGTTATTTTTTTACAATTTAATTTTCAAGTTCAATTTGTTTAATTTTAAGTCTAGTTTTAAGTTTTTTAATTACTTGTTTAAGTTTTTAAAGTTTCTACTTCAATTATTGCTCTTGCAAAATTTTCTGTTTCGATTCAAGTTGCTATTTACAATTTTCTGTTTTAATCTTCAAATTCAATTCATAGTTTTACAATTCTTTTTCAATTTTGGCATTAGCATGTTTACAACATTATGTTCTTCATTAAAAATTTTAGTTTCTAGTTTTCAGTTTAGGATTTTAATTGCTTTATGCTTTAATTTCTTGTTTATTGCATTATATTAGAGCTTAATTTTTAGTTTTTAGTTTTCAAAAGTTTATTGCATTCTGTTATTGTTTAATTTACAACTTTAAGTTATTGCATTAATTTATTTTTTGTTTTAACATACAAACTTCTTAATGTTGTTTTACGTTTAGTTATTGCATTAGTTGTTTAATTCACTTATGCATATATTATTTAGCTATTACATTAGGCTTTATTTAACTGCATCATATTTAAACTATCTTTCTATAATTTTACATAGTTTAAATTTTTTGTTTTACTTATTAATTCATTTACTATTTTGATTATTAATTTCTAATATTTGGTTCAGTTAATTTTAGGTAGTTGCTGCTTTAATTAGTTTGCATGTTTAGAATAATTTAGCTTAGTTATTTAATTTTTTGTTTACATAATACTATAGTTAATTGCTTATTTTTTTAGTTGTCTGGATATAATTAGAGTCTTACAATTTTGATTCTTAGAAACTATATTTACAATCTTTACGAAAATGAACGTTACTCACTACTCTATTACTTGTTACGATCCATGCACTTGTGATAGTAAACAAGTTTTTGTCATCATTATCGAAGATTGATACAGTTTAATTTTAATATTGATTCTAAGCATGCATAATTGTAATTCAAACCTTTTTTTTCTTTGTCTTTTTGTTTTCTTAATGCATGATAGTATGGTATATCCTTGGGAGTTGAGGACCCTTGGAAATGATGCCATACTTGAAGTGGGTAACATCCAATCAAGCATTAGCATGCCTTAATTGAAGCTGAGAACTTTGAAATCAATCTAGACATTATCCTAATGATCTTGAAGTCAGTTCAATTTGGATGTATGTCTAACGAAGATCTAAATACACATATTGTCAATTTTTTGGAGATTTGTGATACATTTAGATATGATGGTGTTACTGATGATGCTATTCGCC